GATCCATTGATTAACCCTCATTTTTGATTCATAACTCAGTATCATTGGCCTATCGCGAAACAGCTGTCCTTATTTTTTGTTTTTGCTTCGAACTTGGGTTATTTCCCTTCTTTTTTTTTAACTTTTATTCCTATCATTGTCCACTGAAGGTGTGCAGCTCAGGATTGAAGGATCTGGCCTAGCGGTATCAGAATGAGGGGACACGTGGTTTTTTTCCCCCCACAAGTGACTACTTGTCTACAGCTGGCCCAAAGATGAGCGCACACCCATGCACAAAATGTTCAGCAAATGAAGTGAAAAAAAAAAAATTCTTCTAGATAATTAGTGGACAAATCATGCGATCATCTGTTGTCCGAGTATTTTGTTATTTGATCATTTATTTGTTCCGGATTTTTTTTTTGCTTATTTGCTGAGCAAATGATTTTTTTTTTTTTTGGAACTGGCGTTTTTCACTTGGCTTTGCCAGTCTACTCTGTATGCTAAACTGTCCAGTACATCTGCGCAATTCGGTCCGTTTTTCTTGTTTTCTTTTGGTGCCTTTATATTTGAAAAATATGCAGTTTTATTTGTTATGAGCATTTTTTATGGGAGCAATTTTTATATGTGAAATTTGTTGGTTGCTTTAACTGTTTCAAATTCTGTTGGAAAGGCTCGTGGAGCTTCAGCATTTTCTAGAAAATTAATATTGTGCAAAGGAGGAGGAAAGCAGAAAGGACGAGGGGGTGAGGAGGACTTTGTCACCTCATTCCCAGTTTTTTAAAACTTACGAAATTTTAAAAAAAAAACTGGGAATGCGAGTTTTTTCATATCCTCTTTTTTATGCGCAATAAATTTCATTACAAATTTTGCAATAAAACGGCGGGGACAAACAAAGGCTTGTGAATTTAAGAGCCTAGGAAGCTTTGTGGTACTTTGAAAATCTGAGGGCGTAGACTACCACGTAAATTTCTGGAACACATCCTCAAACTCTTCCTCACTGGTATTAACATTTTTGCGAAAACTGTCCAATGTTCTAGCCTACTTTCTTGCTTTACTTTTCACCTTGTGCTGTAAGCCAACACGTTTTCATTTGCTTCATGAGGAGATTTCCTCGCCATCGATCCATCCATTCATAATCAGTAGCATTTCCTCATTTCCCTTGTTGCTATTTACCAGCAACACAGTGATTATTGATAGTCCGGGCGATTTTGGTGATTTTATCATTATTTTTTCATCATTATTTTTTCCTTGTAAAAAATTTTCGAACAAGTTGTGAATGGTTTTTTTTTCTCGTCCATATGAAACAGCTCAAATAAAATCTGTTACAAATGGCTGAACACTGCTCTAATGAACTCTTCGAGAACGGCAGTTCACAGATACAGGTTGAAAGCATTCAGTAACATTGGTTACGCTGGATCTCGAGGATCAATTCGAGACCCGTTCATATATGGCAGTGAAAGAAGAAAGTATCAGACGAAATATATATTTGAGCCGTCAACGATAACGATGTCGGTTTTTGGTGAAAATAATAATAATAATAACAACAGTGACAACAACAACAATAATAATAATAATGATGATGATAATAATAATGGCAATGGAAGAAAGCAACTTTTGTTTATTCAGTCAGTGATACTCACGAGAAAGCTAACGACCACGCGGTCGACGCCAGGAGAGATCGAGATCCCGCATTCTTTACATATTTACGCAGCTGAAGGTCTGATTGCTTCAAGTTTGGCGCTAGAACGCATTGTCGCACTGGCAAATCTAGCGCATCACAGCCTGTGTTCCAAAAAAAAGTTGCTTTACAAGGCAGTTGACGATAACGATGCCGATTTTTGGTGGTATTGTTAATAATAATAATGATAATCGCAACGAAAAATTAACTTGCAATAGCCACTTTCCGCAGTTTATTGCTGCGGTGTCAGTTTTTTTGAAAAATTTTTTTATTAACGTCGGTGATAATGATGGGCGTCATTGTGATTGATGACAACGGTGATAATGATATTGATAATGACGATGGTGGAGAAATTCTAATCTACAGCAGGCAGGTGCTGTTGTTACCCACTGCTTCCTCGATTCGATAGAGGAAACAAGCTTGGTCGCCTCTGTTACGGCACTTTATTACAACACACGCCGTCTGGTTCTGCTTTCCAGTGATCATTTCTGATAACTATGTTTGATGTTCCTCCCATCTTTCCCTTCCCACCCTCCCGGATCTCTCCCCTTCTCTCACCTTTTTCTTAGAAAGGAAGGAAGAGAGAGGAAGTGAATCCGGTAACTTATTCATTTTTGCCAGAAAACCTCCAAAAAAACTTATCTTTTTGAAGAGTTTATTAAAAAATGTTTTTTTTTTTTTTTATAAACTCTCTTGCAACGTCGCTTTTTTTGCTCAATGGGCTTTTTGTTAAATGTCTAGTTAAGGTTGTTTGAAAATTATATGTTCGGAAGGATCAGGTAAGTTGGCAGTCTGAATTTCATCTCTTAGCTATAAACACAGACCTGTTTCGCAACGGTGCCTACATTTGCGTACTGGCGTATATTTAAGAAATAAAATACTGTCTTTTTTTTTGCTCACCAAGCTATTTATAACGTCCTGTTCTTTGGCGTGTTACTTGTAATTGTGCACTAAGGGCATATCACTTTTATGTTCTTTCTCTGTTTCTTATAACCTGTCCTGTTTTCGATTCGGTGCCTGTACCCGTGCACGGGCAACATTTTTGATGGATTCTTTAGTCTGCCTTTATTATTGCCCTTTCCTCCTCTTTTCTGTTTTAACACATATTTTTATTTGTGAAATTTGGGTTTTTATTAAAAACTTGTTTTTTGTTATTTTTTGAAGCAATAAAACGAAAGTCAGGATGGTCAGCAAGCTGACCGTCGGTCGGTGTAGCATTGGTCAAAGCAACTCTAAAAACTGCCAGCTGAATAGCTGAAGAACGATGCTAATAAGTGCAACTGATCAAGTGTCGAAATAAATTTTTAGGGTTTCAGAATGGATGAAACTGCTATTGGCTTCGTATGCTTGATCATCTCCTGCATCGCTTTTGGATTCATGTTCGCTCCGTTGCGTAAATTGGATTGCAGGGATGGTAAGTCCAGAAAGGTCATCTTCCACCTTGATAAGTAAAACTCATACGCCGCGTTAAATGCCATTTTTTCTGGAAATTTTTAGCTACTTTTTAGTTTTTGCGATTTTTTTTTTACCTAAGGATATTGCCTCATAGTAAGTACCATTAGCGAAGCAAAGGCCGGAGCCCATGATTCGAATGTGGCTGTAAATAAATGAATTCCCCGTCGGCTTGTCTCTTCGGTTTGGGAGCAAATCGGTACTGCTGTGCCCAGTATGCCAAAGAAATCGACTCGCTTTCAATTTTTTTCTTGGATCTTCAATAAAAAAGGAAATCATTGGCAATCTCACTAGGGCGTGGCCCATATATGCAAAGTATTTTAGCTGTAGTTACTTTCGTGCGACATAATCTCCTACAGGAAATACAGCTAAATGAGTCTGATTTTTGATTTAAATTCGCTGAGGAAAATGAGGTTAATTTTTGATTTATCTTGAAAAAAAAAAATGAGAAAAATCTTTTATTTTTAAAATGAATAGTAATACTGTTCATGTGAGGTACGCAGTTTTTCATAAGAAAGAACCCTCTTTTG